AGGAACCCCTAGCAACCTGTGGAGGAACCATAGTTGAGAAGCCCTGCCTTAGAATGCTCATACTAAATCATATATGAGGTATACATGTGCTTTTCTACAGAAACTTTATAAGGAATTTGAACCCTCATATCCAACCCTGGTAAATGGGACAATACTAGTTTATATACATCTATAGACCACGAATTGGGGCGGGTTCATGGCAAAGAGTAAACTTTGACAGAAATTGGGTAAATATTCTAACAATCAGGTTATCTTTGTGATTGAACTGATGGGATTCATAATAAAGAATACCTATTGTATGTTTGGTGACAAATAATTTTTGCAGTTATGAGGAGCTGCCATGGGGAGCCCTATGGTTCCCTCTTATGCTATTGCATTTATGACACTTGTACAGGTAACATGGATTCGTGAACATTCTTTCTTTAACCACTTCAGTACTGGGCACCTTCACCCCCTTCCTGTCCAAGCCAGTTTTCAGCTTTCAGTGCTTTCACACGTTGAATGACAGATACAGCTTTTTTTTTGGTGGAGGAGTTCCAGCCCCCCCCTCCTAAAAATTAAAAGTCAGCATCTACAAATACTGTAGCTGCTGACTTTTAATATTAGGGCACTTACCTGTCCAGAGATCCAGAGGTGTTCTCACCCGAGCCGATTCTTCAGTTGGCTTCACAGTTGGTTTCCTACTGCACTTGCGTGAATTGTGCTGCACTTTATGAATGGGTTACAGTCCTCTGGGACCCATGAAATATCCCACAGGGCCGAACTTCCAGCTCATTTCACCGCTATCAATACCAGGTACCTGCTCCCTCCCAAGAGGTGCCAAATGTGGGAGGGGAGGGGGGAAGCAGATAAGTAGAGCTTCCATTTTTGGGTGAAACTCCACTTTAACCGCTTGCCCTCCAGAAGATTTACCCCCCTTCCTGACAAGGCCATTTTTTGCTATTCGGCACTGCGCTATTTCAACTGGTAACTGCGAAGTCATGATTGGACACAGCTGATCACATGGTAAAGAGCCAACGTCATTGTCTCTTTACCCTGATCTGTGATGAGCTGTGTCTGAGGGAGACATCTCACCACAGACCGCCGTACTGTGTGCCTCCAGGAATGGCATGACCTCCACAAAGAGGTACAAAAGTCCCGCCTGGCCATCAATCTGCTATTGGCTGGGTGGGAACCAGTTAAAGACATTTTTAGTTTATGGCTTTGATTTATAGACCATATATTTGCTGTATGGATGTTCAGGGCCTGGATCTAGACCCGAGACCGCTGCTCCGTCCAGCAGACATGGCAAACATGTATCATCTGGGTATAGAGAATCAACTAACCCTAGGAATTTAAAAGATGGCCCCCGGGCCTCCACGTGGCTCCGGCGGCGTAGCGTCACGACGTCCGCTACGCTGCCAGAGCTACGTGGAGGCCCGGCGGCCATCTTTTAATCTCCTAGGGTTAGTTGATTCTCTATACCCAGATGATACATGTTTGCCAACTGATACTTTTTCACAATAAAGCAATTTTATTTCAACAATACTACACTATGGGCGTCCTTCCTTGACTCCTTGAGAGGAGTTCTTTTATACAGAGCCCTCCACCACGATCTCAAGCAACATACCAAGAGGAGGAAGATCCCCTGTAAACAGGTTACCCCTTCCATCCATCCAACAATAGAAGACCTCTGGTTACCTGGATCTGGTTTACATCATTTTTGGGGCAAATTCTGAATGCAACCCGGAGGGAGGATTGACCTGTTCTGACCAGACCTTTTTTCTTCCTGATTGAGGATCCATTGGATTTGATATACACCGCTTACACTTATCTATCTTCTGGTGAGTGCGCATTTCTGCTATTCTTCACGGATCACCACCATTGATTACCACCAGTTACCTGGCACGATTTTTACGATATAGACTTTATATCAGAATTTATTATCTTATGTGCATATCAATTTTATTACCTTATGTCTATCTTTTTTTCTTTTTTATTTAGCGCTGCACTGTTTTTTGTTTAAAAAAAAATGTGCATTTATTATTTTTGTTAAGGAAAGGATTGCACCAGCGATCAGTAGATCTCTGGTGCCATGCAAGTCTCCTGCAGACCTGTCAGATTATCTGCTTGCTCATACAGGATGTACGGTCAAGCAGGAAGAATCAAGGAACTACCACAGCGCTACGCAGGGCTGTGGTAGTTCATGGAGGACTACAAGCTGACAGCCGCTAAGGCTGCTTGGACATGTAGTCTCTCATTCACAGAATGCTGTAAATGAGTGATGCAGCCAGTGGGCAGAGCCACACACTGCCACGTTTTTACAGCAAGGGAAGGGGGGGGGGGGGGTGAAAATCTCCTGCTATCTGTCAGATTTTTAAAAAACGTGGCAGTGTGGGGCTCCGCCCGCTGGCTACATCACTCATTTACAGCATTCTGTGAATGAGAGAGTACATGTCCCAGCAGCCTTAGCGGCTGTCAGCTTGTAGTCCTCCATGAAATACCACGGTGTGATGTAGCACCACGATAGTTCATTGATTCTCCCTGTCAGTATATCTGCTTGACTGTACATCCCCTATGAGCAAGCAGATATTCTGACAGATCTGCAGGAGACCTGCATGGCACCAGAGATTTACTGATCGCCCCCCCCCCCTTCCCATGGCACCCATCACCGTTCCTTTCCTGAACAAAGACAATGAGTGATCATTACTGATCGCACTCTGTGGTCATAACTATGTGGGGGTTTTTTTTTTGGGGGGGGGGGCTATCAGGTTGGCTGTATGGGGCCCCGTGGTTTCTAACAGCAGCCCTGTCCCCAGTGAACCACTTTTCAGAGGACAGTTGACAGACAGCTTTGAGGCCTCCTCAGCTTTTGTTTTAACCCTGATAAGCACTCCCCACCATGCCACAACCATGTGCAATCCATGTGGTTGCAGCATGCCCACATTGGCTTCAATGAGTAACGTCTGGCAGTGGAACAGTCCGCTAAACACAACATGGGGTATCATTTTTGCCACGGCATGTGTACCACCCAGGCTTACCATTGTTGAATGGGGTGGTTAAACCACGACTCATTTGCCAATTTTTAGTGCCCCCCACACCACAAGTGTGATTGAGGCTTTAATGTAATTTACTGATTTTCTTCCACACATTAGGTGTATGGCTGTACAGAGTAGAAGACGCTTGTTGCAGTGTCATACGCCACACATAGGTGTCCATTGGTGGCAGACCTTTCCGTGTTGAGTCTGCGCCCGCTACATGCTCCCAGCACAGTGACCGAGCTGTCAAAGACAACTCTAAATCCACGCTAATGATCAGGAACCTAAGGAACCAGATGCTGATCATTTGTCCACCGTGACAGCCAATCACAGTGGCTACGTGACCAGCTGATCCTTCTTCCTTCCAGGATATACAGGCCCTATAGAGGGACGCTGGGCAGTAACGGGTTAAAAAAAGGACCGCTGGCGTGCTATAGCTCAAGCTTTGAGAACCCCTTCGGTTGTCTTCCAGGGGGTGAAGACCCGGACAAATGCTATGTTGTTCAATGAACAGATGTCCAGCATTCTTCATGATTCTCATCTGAGATTCCTTAAGGTTTGGGAACCTTGGATACATTATTCCTTGCCATCCCTGCCTCCTACTAGTTATGGCCTCCTATAGTCGCTGCTTATGCTAGCCCTGGATCCGTGATCCTTCTAGTTTCCCTTTTTTCATGTTTTTTTCTGATTCCCTTTTGTTTCATTTTCTTTTTCTTTTTCCGATATTATGTTGGATTACTGCTGCTATTTGATTCGGCTTTTTGCCGTCCCTTCTTGATGTCATTGGACATTTGACTAATACAAGTCAGCCAGATGTCTCTGTTTATGTGTTACTGTTCTGCTCTGCCCCTGCGAGGGCGTATTTTGAGCTTGTTATATTCTTAAAAACAAAATTTTCTTTATAAAAATATTGAAACAGAAAAAAAGGACTGCTGTGACCAATTTTAAATCCATTTCGAGCAAGTCACAAGCCAAGAGCCTAAAGCAGGGGCTGATCTGTGTCAAACGTTTGTGAGCACAGCCAAGAACTGGGCAGGCACCAGGGTGTACATGATGTGTCATCTCTGAGCCAACATCTCAGTCTAGGATGGTGACCCTGGAAGATAAAGGCATTTTCAAGGTGAGTCCTGCGTTACACAATACTTAGGTCTCATACACAAAGGCATTTGACGTTTTATTGTTTCTGCCTCTAAACGCACCTCCATGTTAGTTTATCCATCCATAAGTATTAAAGAAAAATTAGAAGGGGAGTGTTTAGAGGCTGAACAAAAAAAATCACTTGTGCGTTCAGGAGAGGAGCATTTGAGCAAGAAAAACGTTGAACGCGCCTAAACGCGCCTAAACGCGCGCATTTAATGCTTAAGCATTCATTCCAGTGGCCAATATAAATTCATATTCTGGCCAATGGGATGTGCGAATGCCTAAATGCATTTGAAAAATGTGGCTTTTGTAGCCTCCCTAGCGGTCTGATTATGTCCATATTTCTGTGCTCAAAGCGGTACATTTTTTTTGCATGGAAATATGTTGTTTTTTTTTATTGTAGGCTGTAATTTTTAGCAATAACTCACTGAAATCTGTCCGAACAAGAGTCTAGTAAACATCCCGGGGAGGATAAAACTTGAAACACGAAATCATAAATTATAATATAATAAATAATCATAAATAATAATAAAATAATAATAAATGTAATTCAATAATATAATCAAACCAAAAACACTGAAATGTGAAATATAGCGCCAAGTTCGCACATCGCTGAGCTCAGTCGCAGAATCGTTTTCAGTGTCTGATGAGGAATTTCCCCCACCAATCATTATCACTCAATTCTGCAAGTGGTTCTAATTTACTATCGCTGTTCTCTAGCCGGTCTAAAACCGTTTTTGACCTAAAGGGACGCTTTTTGGACGCCATGGACGTTTCTCAGTTTCCAGGCAGAAAGGGCGGTAAAAATGCAGGCAGGGCGCCGGACAAAGCACTCGGGACAAAATGTATGTGAAATGGTTTGATACAGGAATGTTATACTATGTGATTTTAGTGTATTTAGTGAATGTCACTTTTAACATTTTCAAATTTCCCGCCAGTTCCGTCCCCCGTACGTCCCGACGCTCGCAGGGAACGGAACCCAGAAGACAGATGCTGGTGTAGCAGCAAGATGAGTTCCCCCATGAAGATGTGTGTCCCTGACGCATCTGCGCATATCACAGTTTTCGGCAGCAGTAGACGATCGCCGATCACCATCCATAGCACAGTAAAGAAATCGATCATTATTATTAATTATTATGATTAATATATTTATGAATTAATTAGTTAAGAAAAGTAAGACATTGGCATGAAGGGGTTAATTCACAAAGGTTGGATGCAGCAGTTTAGTCAACGATTGATCGTGACTGAAACTGTGACATGCGCAGATGCGTCAGGGACACACATCTTCATGGGGGAACTCATCCTGCCGCTACACCGGCACCGGCCGGGGATGCTGCAGGGGACACTGCAGGGGGGACATCGCGGGAGTGCAGGACAAGGTAAGAGAAGAAGAGATCCCGGAACAACGCTGCAGGGGGGACATTGCGGGAGTGCAGGACAAGGTAAGAGAAGAAGAGATCCCGGAACAACGCTGCAGGGGGGACAGCGTGGGAGCGCAGGAGATCCCGGAACAGCGCTGCAGGGGGGACAGCGCGGGAGCGCAGGACAAGGTAAGTGAAGAAGAGATCCCGGAACAACGCTGCAGGGGGGACAGCGCGGGAGCGCAGGACAAGGTAAGTGAAGAAGAGATCCCGGAACAACGCTGCAGGGGGGACAGCGCGGGAGCGCAGGACAAGGTAAGTGAAGAAGAGATCCCGGAACAACGCTGCAGGGGGGACAGCGCGGGAGTGCTGGACAAGGTAAGTGCAGAAGAGATCCCGGAACAACGCTGCAGGGGGGACAGCGCGGGAGCGCAGGACAAGGTAAGAGAAGAAGAGATCCCGGAACAACGCTGCAGGGTGGACAGTGCGGGAGCGCTGGACAAGGTAAGTGCAGAAGAGATCCCGGAACAACACTGCAGGGTGGACAGCGCGCGCAGGACAAGGTAAGAGAAGAAGAGATCCCGGAACAGCGCTGCAGGGGGGACAGCGCGGGAGCGCAGGACAAGGTAAGAGAAGAAGAGATCCCGGAACAACGCTGCAGGGGGGACAGCGCGGGAGCGCTGGACAAGGTAAGTGCAGAAGAGATCCCAGAACAACGCTGCAGGGGAGACAGCGCGGGAGCGCTGGACAAGGTAAGTGCAGAAGAGATCCCGGAACAACGCTGCAGGGGGGACAGTGCGGCAGCACTGGACAAGGTAAGTGCAGAAGAGATCCCGGAAAACAACGCTGCAGGGGGGACAGCGAGGGAGCGCAGGACAAGGTAAGAGAAGAAGAGATCCTGGAACAACGCTGCAGGGGGGACAGCGAGGGAGTGCAGGACAAGGTAAGAGAAGAGATCCCGGAGCAACGCTGCAGGGGGGACAGCGCGGGAGTGCAGGACAAGGTAAGAGAAGAAGAGATCCTGGAACAACGCTGCAGTGTATTCCCGAGTGTAGCTCGGGTTACCGCTTGTGGTGCTGAAACTTTACCCCGAGCTACACTCGGGAATACTGCCAGGGGGGTTAAGCACCTCCGTCTTAGCATAGGTGTCCATACACACACACACAGGCGTTTATAGGCTGACAATCACTTGCCCATTTGGGAGAGAAGCGTTTGGGCAGAAAAAAAAAATCTGAATGCGCCGAAACGCATGTAAACACGGGAGCGCCGGACAAGGTAAGTGAAGAAGAGATCCCGAAACAACGCTGCAGGGGGGACAGCGCGGGAGCGCAGGACAAGGTAAGTGAAGAAGAGATCCCGGAACAACGCTGCAGGGGGGACAGCGCGGGAGCGCTGGACAAGGTAAGTGCAGAAGAGATCCCGGAACAACGCTGCAGGGGGGACAGCGCGGGAGCGCTGGACAAGGTAAGTGCAGAAGAGATCCCGGAACAACGCTGCAGGGGGGACAGCGCGGGAGCGCAGGACAAGGTAAGAGAAGAAGAGATCCCGGAACAACGCTGCAGGGTGGACAGTGCGGGAGCGCTGGACAAGGTAAGTGCAGAAGAGATCCCGGAACAACGCTGCAGGGGGGACAGCGCGGGAGCACAGGACAAGGTAAGAGAAGAAGAGATCCCGGAACAACACTGCAGGGTGGACAGCGCGCGCAGGACAAGGTAAGAGAAGAAGAGATCCCGGAACAACGCTGCAGGGTGGACAGCGCGGGAGCACAGGACAAGGTAAGAGAAGAAGAGATCCCGGACAACGCTGCAGGGGGGACAGCGCGGGAGCACTGGACAAGGTAAGTGCAGAAGAGATCCCGGAACAACGCTGCAGGGGAGACAGCGTGGGAGCGCTGGACAAGGTAAGTGCAGAAGAGATCCCGGAACAACGCTGCAGGGGGGACAGTGCGGCAGCACTGGACAAGGTAAGTGCAGAAGAGATCCCGGAAAACAACGCTGCAGGGGGGACAGCGAGGGAGCGCAGGACAAGGTAAGAGAAGAAGAGATCCCGGAACAACGCTGCAGGGGGGACAGCGAGGGAGCGCAGGACAAGGTAAGAGAAGAAGAGATCCCGGAGCAACGCTGCAGGGGGGACATCGCGGGAGCGCAGGACAAGGTAAGAGAAGAAGAGATCCCGGAGCAACGCTGCAGTGTATTCCCGAGTGTAGCTCGGGGTTACCGCTTGTGGTGCTGAAACTTTACCCCGAGCTACACTCGGGAATACTGCCAGGGGGGTTAAGCACCTCCGTCTTAGCATAGGTGTCCATACACACACACAGGCGTTTATAGGCTGACAATCACTTGCCCATTTGGGAGAGAAGCGTTTGGGCAGAAAAAAAAATCTGAATGCGCCGAAACGCATGTAAACACATCTAAGCGCGTCTAAACACTAGACGCGTTCAGTGTTTGAGCGTTTATTCATTCCAGTGGTTAGAAAAAAATTAATGTTCTTGCCAGTGGAATGAATGTACGCCTGAACACGCCTTTTAGACGCGTTTTTTTAAGCAGCTTTTTCCCTGGAGGAAAGGTGTTTAGGGGAGCTGGGCCAGCACCCTGTGTGCATGAGGCCTTAGCATGCGTGACTCCACTTTAAACCGTATTAATGATACAAATCTGCGTATGACATCCATCAGTTGCTTGCGGAAGTTGGGGCTGAGTAACACCTGGCTCCCTGCTTTCCCATACGCTGAACATTGGCTCATTTGGCAGCTCGGCCGGCGCGGGGAGCGTTTAATTCGGAGAGCTGAGAATTGATGTGACAGGCTGTACTGACGCAGTAATTAATGTGGACAGGAATCAGCGGAGGAAAGCCGTGCCCTAGAGAATGGAGGTATTAATACAGCGGGTATTAATAGGACAGGCCTGAGATCTGCTGCCAGCTGTACGGGGATGGCAGGAACATCTGGAGAGGTGGGCACCACCAGCACAGCTGGCACGCCTGATTTACGGCTTGTCATATAATCTGAGCAAACACAATCACAGCCCCCAGCAGTGACTTGGAGGCGTACTCGCTGACATTCCCAACGCCGGGCTCCAAGAAGTTTCTGAAATATGTTCTTGGAAATTCGGCAAGGACCCAGCAGGACAGGCAACTGGAGATGGCCATGTTGGGTTTGGGATGGGAGTTCCAGTTTTCATCACAGAGCATAATGGGGGCTTTGAAGTTGACAAACTTCTGTCTTGCAGCACTGGGGTCCTTGGTTCAAATCCCAGGACACCTGCATGGAGTTTGCAGGTTACCTGTGCTTGCGTGAGTTTTCTCCTGCCATGGTTGGTAGATTGACCTGCTCCTGTCTAAATTAGCACTAGTATGGCCTATGTATGCGAGAGAGCGACCTTAGATTGTAAGCTCCTGGAGGACAGAGCGTCATGTGACTATACAGTGTGAAAAGTGCTGTGTAAATTGTTGGTGATACATAAGTAATGTAATCAGTAGCAATACCTACAGCGTTCTCCTCCTATCTCATACAGCAAATAATGGGGGAGATTTACTAAGATTGGTGCACCCAGAAGCTGTACATGATAGCCAAGAAGCTTCTAACGTCAACTTGTTCATTAAAGTGGTTGTAAGCCCGTGTTCACACTGATGTGGTGCGGAATTCACAGCGGTTTCTGTGCAACTTCTGCACCGCATCATAATCACAACCTGTTCATGCAAACCACTGCAGGTGTGTATTTTAAAATGTTATTAAACCCTGGACCCCGCATTCAATATATCCGCTCTCCCCGGACCCTGCATTCACTATATCAGCTCTCCCCGGACCCTGCATTCACTATATCAGCTCTCCCCGGACCCTGCATTCACTATATCAGCTCTCCCCGGACCCCGCATTCAATATATCCGCTCTCCCCGGACCCTGCATTCACTATATCAGCTCTCCCCGGACCCTGCATTCACTATATCTGCTCTCCCTGGACCCTGCATTCACTATATCTGCTCTCCCTGGACCCCGCATTCACTATATCTGCTCTCCCCGGACCCCCATTCACTATATCTGCTCTCCCTGGACCCCGCATTCACTATATCTGCTCTCCCTGGACCCCCATTCACTATATCTGCTCTCCCTGGACCCCGCATTCACTATATCTGCTCTCCCTGGACCCCGCATTCACTATATCTGCTCTCCCTGGACCCCGCATTCACTATATCTGCTCTCCCTGGACCCCGCATTCACTATATCTGCTCTCCCTGGACCCCGCATTCACTATATCTGCTCTCCCTGGACCCCGCATTCACTATATCTGCTCTCCCTGGACCCCGCATTCACTATATCTGCTCTCCCTGGACCCCGCATTCACTATATCTGCTCTCCCTGGACCCCGCATTCACTATATCTGCTCTCCCTGGACCCCGCATTCACTATATCCTCTCCCCCTCCCCGCCCCGCATCACCTGGACCCCGCATTCACTATATCTGCTCTCCCCGGACCCCGCATTCACTATATCTGCTCTCCCTGGACCCTGCATTCACTATATCCGCTCTCCCCGGACCCCGCATTCACTATATCTGCTCTCCCCGGACCCCGCATTCACTATATCCGCTCTCCCCGGACCCCGCATTCACTATATCCGCTCTCCCCGGACCCCGCATTCATATATCCTATATCCGCTCTCCCCGGACCCCGCATTCACTATATCCGCTCTCCCCGGACCCCGCATTCACTATATCCGCTCTCCCCGGACCCTGCATTCACTATAACACGTCGGTTATTACTCAGACACAGTCCTTTAGCGTCACTATTAGGAGGCCGGTCCACAACAAAGAAGTGCAGCTGACAATGGAGTGCATGTAGACAGGAAGTAGGTGGAAAAAGGCTGGAGGAGATCAGCAGCACTGAGATATTAAAAAGGATGCAAAAAAAAAATTAATTGTATAAAAAATGGTAATTCTTTATGACACCCAGAGCTGCTTTTTTTTTTTTTTCCTTTTTTGTTGGTTGAACTGGATGGACTTGAGTCTTTTTTCAGCCAGACTAACTATGTAACTATTTAGCAAAACAACTGCATTTAACCACTTCCCGTCTGGCCCATGTATATAAACGGCTGGACGGGAGCAGTGCAGGGTCGGGTGGCAGTTTATAAACGGCCTCCCCGCGCCGTGCTTGTGCGCTCCCTAGGAGCGCGCAGCACCGTGATCCGGTGCCCGCTGTGTCCTCCGGACACAGTGGAACACCGATCGTCGTCCGAGACCTCTGTGCGAGGTCCCAATCATGTGATCACTGATTGGCCAATCAGTGATCACATGCAGAGTAGTAAGCAAGATGTCACTTCTGACATCATTCCTTACTACGTGTGAAATCTGTGAATGATCACAGAGGTCACATGGTACAGGGCTATTCACAACAGTCTTGTACCATGTGACAAGCTGTGACCAATACCAGCTCACTCAGTAGTTCTCAATGGCTGCAAGAATGCAGCCAGAGAGAAGGAGAAATGATTGCTTTTATAGCCTTTATGGGTGTAAAAGCAATCAGTGTAAAAAAAAAAATCTTCATCACCCCCCACAAGTAGTACAGTGTCACTATGGTGAATGCACTGCTAGGGTGACAGTATGTAAAAAAAAATAAACAAATAATATAAAAAAAAAAAAATAAAAATGTAAAACAAAGTTTAAAAATTATAATTTTTGGTTATAAACTAATTTGTTTTGGTTTTTTTTACTAAAAAGATAACCGAATAAATTTTGGCCAAGATTTATGATGAAATATTATTTATTTGCAAAATTTTATAAGAAAAACACTTTTTTTTTTTTTTAATTTTTGGACTTTTTCATTTTACAAAGCAAAAAAAAAAAAAAAATCCCAGCGGTGAATAAATACCACCAAAATAAAGCTTTATCTGTCTCTAAAAATGCTAAAAAATTCATATGGGTACAGTGTTGCATGACCGCGCAATTGTCATTCAAAGTGTGATAGCGCTGAAAGCTGAAAATTGGCCTAGACCGGAAGGGGGTGAAAGTGTCCGGACTGGAAGGGGGTGAAAGCATCCGGACTGGAAGGGGGGGATCCGGACTTGGAAGGTGTCCGGACTTGGAAGGGGGGGGAAAGCGTCCGGACAGGAAGGGGGTGAAAGCGTCCGGACTGGAAGGGGGGGAAAGCGTCCGGACTGGAAGGGGGGTGAGCGTCCGACTGGAAGGGGTGAAAGCGTCCGGACTGGAAGGGGGGTGAAGGGTCCGGGGAAGGGGGGGTGAAAGTGTCCAGACTGGAAGGGGGGTGAAAGCGTGTCCGGACTGGAAGGGGGTGAAAGCGTCCGGACTGGAAGGGGGTGAAAGCGTCCGGACTGGAAGGGGGTGAAAGCGTCCGGACTGGAAGGGGGGAAGCGTCCGGACTGGAAGGGGAGTGAAAGCGTCCGGACTGGAAGGGGAGTGAAAGTGTCCGGACTGGAAGGGGAGTGAAAGTGTCCGGACTGGAAGGGGAGTGAAAGTGTCCGGACTGGAAGGGGGGGGAAAGCGTCCCGGACTGGAAGGGGGGAAAGCGTCCGGACTGGAAGGGGGGAAAGCGTCCGGACTGGAAGGGGAGTGAAAGTGTCCGGACTGGAAGGGGGGTGAAAGTGTCCGGACTGGAAGGGGGGAAAGCGTCCGGACTGGAAGGGGGGTGAAAGTGTCCGGACCTGAAGTAGTTAAAGGCATTATTGATCCTTATGAATGGGCTGTGGTGGTGAGTCGGAAGAGACGGTTCTTCCAGCAGCTGTCCCTGTCCTGACGTTTGAGTGTGATTGCATCCATGACTGCACCTTTAATAATAAATAAAAGGGCTCAGAATGTGACATCGCCATCAGCATTTCTATGACAGTGATGGAGAGGTTTATAGCAATTTCCTCCGTCACTAACAATGTTCTCCATCCGCTCCAGTGACAGATGATGTGACAGGTGCTCTTAACGTCACTTCATCTGTCACTCAGCACCCGTGAACCGTTCCCTGGAACCGGGGACCCGCTGAGCGAGCTGTGACCCCAGAGCATGTCCTACCATGCTGTGCTTAGGATGTGAAAAGAAGTCATTACAGAAGTTGGGATCGAATCTACACACTTCTATTGAAAATGATATTCAAGTATTTCTAAAGACACAACTTTTTGAAGAATAAAGAAAGGTTAAAAGATCTGAGAATGCTTAACTCAGATGGTTGCATGAAGAGCAAACAGTGTGCTATGAGAGCGGGGGAAGTGGATAGAACGCTGGGGTTCATCACTAGAGGGGTCACCGGCAGGAGGAAGGAGGTCCTGATTCCTCTATATAGATCTTTATATCACTA